TAGGGAGTTACCTATTTAAACCCTCTGCGCCATATGTGGGTCAACTATTATTATAACCGAATTGGGTTATATCCCTTAAGAAACTAGTTTTTTTATCCTTCTAATATGTACTTTAATTTTTTTAAAAGCATGACCAACTGAAAGTTGCAAAGTGTGTGCTGCACAAGGCAAGCGCACAACTCCATCCCACAAGCGAATTGCCTTCACCATGTTGCTGCCATTATCTGTTGTAATACAGGTAATTTTTTCATTTAAGCTGAATTCTATTACTTTTTTCTTCAAGAAAGCAATAATCTTTTCGGCAGAATGAGGATAAGGCATCTGTTCCATGCAAATAAAACAATCATATATCTTAAAATCGCTTGATAACCAATGAACCGTTAATCCTATATATCCATGATGGCTTCGCGAAGTCTATAAATCAGTTGTCAATAATGCTGATTCACATGTATTATTTAATAATATTTTTAGACTTTCAATAGAATTATTATAGCCAATTAAAATTTCTTCTTTCATTTTTTTATTACAAGGAATTTTAAAAGCGGGATCAATAATTCTCATCATTTTTTTATATCCTTTTCCTTCAATTACATGGATCAGCAAATTATCAACTATAATCCATTCAGCAATTGCTTGCCGAATTTCCTTATTTCGTGATTCTTTATGTGGTTTAGTTGTTGCACATTCAATTGTCTCTAATAATGTTTGCTGAGTAGTACGATCTTGGTTCTATATAATACCAAAAATAAATATTATTTTAATTATACTAAATATTAATAACTCAATTAATAGAATCTTACTTTATTTCGTTTTTCATGTAAATTATGTTTAATTTGAAGGTGGCTGCTCATATTTCCTGTACCATCATCATAAAGAAGCTTATGACCACATTTAACTTTTTTATTGCTCAATTTTGTTATTTCAACCGTACATATGCAGTATACTTTGTCTTTGCTTAAAGTAAAGTGTTTCCATACCCAGCTAGACTTTGTATATTGCCGTCTAGGCTTTGGATGGTTTAACTTGATTTTTTTTGCAACGTTCGATTGATCAGAAAAAATTGTAGAAGTGGCTCCACTATTAGAACTGATTGATGATATATTGTCACTTGTCTCATATGTGGTGTCTTCAAAAAAATTATCGCAAATATCACTTTCACTCATTTTATAATGAATATGTATTTGAAAAAAAAAAAAAGCTCAATTCGCTCAAAAAAAAAAAAAAAATAATGTGGAAGGGAAGTCAAATTTCTCCAACAAAAAAAAAAAAAAATAAATTTCTTCGACAGAAAAATAGAAGCTAAATTTCAACGGTAAATTTGTTCAAAAAAAATACTGTTCTGAAAAAAAAAGGTTTTTGTTGGGGCAATAGTGCGCAACCAAGTGAAAAAGGCACCTTGGTTTTTTAAATATTATATTGATTATTTATTTGATTCAGCTCTTTTTATTGATGCACATCGGGTTTTCAATTACCATAGTTCAAAATTGTATTGTTTTGCTGTATTGTATATCGTGATCAATTAATTTAAAGCCCGATGTGTTATGGCTAAATTGAGAAATCGGATAAATAATCAATAATATACTTAAAAAACTAAGCACTCATATAATGCGATAACAATAACGATTACGTAATAAGTCATCCGGATTAATCTGGATTGACCTGAATTATCCAGGTGAGACCGTCCCAAATTAGGAAATAATTATCTGAGTCACCCGAATGTTACATGATTTTTTTTTTATACGTTTTACAATACTTCTATTAAAAAGCCGGGCCAATCAAATTTGCAAAAAATTTTTTGTATGTTTTACAATACTTTTTTTAGGGGCTTCGGGTAATCTATCTCTTCTATGAAACGTGACTAAACGACTAAGCAAACTT